GTGCTTGTGGGTTTAATGATGCTATCCTCTCTGCTTTCAAACATGTTTAAATATTTCCATTAAAAAACAGTATTATTCAAGTTGATTTCTCAGGGGGGCTTTCTCCAGTCATCCCAACTAAATCTCAACACTGCTCCCAGCAGTTACTTCATATCCCCATCCCCTGCTTTATTTTGTGTTCCTTCTCACTGTCTACCATTTTCCTTATTTATATTATCAGTTATCTGAGTACCCTCTAAGATGTCATTTCCATGAGTGAATGGATTTTTGATCTGTTTTGTTTGCTGCTGTCTCCCTAGCACCTGGCACAGTTCCTGACATGAAAGAGGGGCTCAGTAAATTTTTGTTGAATAAACAAGTAGATGAATGAACTCAGTCATTCTCCCTAAGATGTTCAGTGATTTTGTTTGGTAAATTCTGGTCTCCTTTGGAATCTTTTGCTTTTGTTCTTTGGAAATCCCCAGTAGACTTTATAGACATTATGTAGACATATCGACACCATATAGACACCACCATCATTTCCAGGAAAGCTAAGAACCCCATTGTCATACAAATGTAATCCAGAATCTGAAGGATGGGGGGACTCTAAGCTCAATTCCATTTTCTTCCATCCCTTTTCTGCTTTTCTGTGCAGGGTACACACAGAAATCAGGGCTCTTGAGGGGCAAGACAGTATGGATATCATTACATATTGCATACAAAAGGGAATAACTCTGGCCTATTCTGAGGCCTGTCAGCAACTCAGAGCCAAGAGGTATAAAATGTATCACAATCCCAGAACGTGGCACAGGTTAAGGTGCCAAAGGAAGAAAAGAGGTCAAAGAGAGTTACTGATCCCAACTCTTCATAGAATAAACTAGCAAAAACAAAGAACCATGACTCTATGAATTCAAGGTCTCCAATCTGCCATAGACCCTGTTGTGGACTGAAGGTACAGATTTACCCTTCCATTCAGTGGCTTGTGGAGTGTTTCCCAATGACAAAAACTCACAACATTCTAGGTGACTCGCGGGAAGACAGAAGACGCTACCCTGGACACAAAAGACTTACTCAACGTTTACAGTGGGATTCAATCCTGACATTCATTGAATACTACGAGGAACAAGTTACAACCTTCTGTTGATTCACTGCAACTACCTACGTTAGGTATTAGGAAACAGATGAGGGGGTGAGGTCTACAGCCTACTAAGGGGCATGAGCCCGTGTCAGTTATATAATATAGGGAGTTGGGTAGTGCCTAAGGGGAGCAATGACCAGGTGAGTGCAATCGCCTGAAGAACCCAGTGGTTGAACAGGAGAAGTGAGTAAAAGATTCATTTGCTTGGATTAGGGGGAATGAATAGTGAGATACCACCAAAGCTGACAAAAATTGTATGTGGGTTAATGCTTTTCTTATAATTCCTTTGGTTGAATTATTGGTGAGGAAACAAGAAAGTTGGGGCAAGAGGGTCATTACACAATGACTTGCAATTGGACATAAGAGTTAGCTGAAACATGGGGCGCCTGGGTGGCTCCGTTGGTTGAGCAACTGCCTTCGGCTCAGGTCATGATCCTGGAGTCCTAGGATCGAGTCCCGCATTGGGGGGTCCCTGCTCAGCAGGGACTCTGCTTCTCCCTCTGACCTTCCCCCTCTCATGTACTCTCTCTCTCTCTCTCATTCTCTCTCTCAAATAAATAAATAAAATCTTAAAAAAAAAGAGTTAGCTGAAACTTGCATAGGCCGAAATCACAAACCATATGAGACATGAGATCACCCATATCCACGTAAGGTATAATTGGAAAAATCAAAGCTGTTTCCATCACTGAAAGACGTCAGGAGGAAGGAGAGAGGAGGCTAAGATGACAAGCTCTCAATATAGCAGTGTGTCTGGAAGAATAGGTTCAATTCCTGGCTCCACCACCTGATGGATACGTACCATTTGATAAGTTCCTTAGCCTCTCTAAATTTCTGTCTTATGGTTAAATGGTTAAAAGATATTTATCCATAAAATTGGACCAATATCATTATCTACCTCACAGAACTGAAGTTGTGAAAATTAATGCAATGATGCATGTAAAGCATTTAGCATAGATAGTATGCACTCAAAAAGTATTATTATTAATACTGTGATAATGCAGGGGGCAAAATACCCTGTCTGGGTCCCAGGCTATTGGGATAAAAAGTGCTTCCTTATGAATAGGAAATAGTCTGGCAGAGGTTATGCGAGAAATGATCTAGCCAAACTCACTTCCTCTGTCCCTCACTTCTGGTGTCTTTCGACTGACTTCTGTTTGCTACATGCAGAGTCCAATGAAATGTCATGATTAGTCTTGATCTACCCATATTCAGGAGATCAGAAGGTCCACAGAACAGATCACACACTGGGAATCAGATCATGGTCACTCTTGTACCATATGATCTACAGGAGGTCATCATTCTCTCCTAGAGAGCAGTGACAAACTTTGTAAAATGCTGATTGAGATCATGATACTCCACACCTCCTATGAGACACTGTAAAGTGATGGACTCACTATCTTAAAAAATGTTTTGTAACAGCCAGGTATCTGGATGGGTACTGGTTATATTTGCAGAGTGGATTTTCAATGCAGTGTTAGCAAAGAACGGCTCCAGCAGAAAGGAGCTGTTAGTGGGTGAGGCTGCTGCTGGTCATGGTCCTGAAAAGCCACTTTGGCTCCAAAAGCCAGCTCTCACTCACAAGCCAGAGTGACTGGGAGTTATCAGAGTGTGGGGCTGCTGCAGAATAGTTGACTGTTATTTTCACAAGAGCTGCTGACCATGGATCTGAAAAGCCTTCTCTGGTCCAAACAATAGTTGTCCCTGGTCACAACCCATGTAGTTCAAACTTGTTCCTAGTATTCAAAGCTTTGCTCTAGCTGAAAGTGTCTTCCCCTTTCCTTTTAGTATATGTGCTGCCTTTTAAACTCGAGTTAGTTTTTCCTTGATCCTCTGGCTAACTGAAGCCTGAGGGTCATTATGATTCAGAGGATTTAAAGAAGCACGTTCAATTTCAAGATTAATTTGGATGTTAAGATCTGAACAAAATGAGTCTATCTTTTCTGGGTCTTCGGGATTGCCAGAGGTCTTAATTTGCAGCAAAACAACAGCTCAAATCAAATTAAGAGCAGATGCAGGGGACCTTCTACACAAAGAATGACCCAGGTTCAAGCAAGTTTCTCTATGGAATTGGGTGAGCAGTCAAGGGTTAACCTCTGGACCCAAATCAGATCAGAATCATGGTTCCTAGTCTAAATTTCATTAAAGGCGAAGTTGCAGGATTACTGTCTTCAGTAATTTATATTTCAATGTCTATCTCCTAGTCACTCTCAACTCTTTTTTCCTCATCCAATGTTAGATAGCACTCTTCCTTTTACTCCTGACCGTACATCCAAATAAGAACCGGTTCAAACGCTTTTCGTCTCTGGTTTTGCTTCCAAATACATGAAGTGGGTAAAGCCTAGTGAAAAAAGGTGGGAAAATAGAACTGGATAATTCCATTCTCCACTAAGATTCTGGCTTCATATTTCAGTTTCCTTTTTTATAAACAGGTGGTTAACAACGGATGTCATGAGACAGCCATGCGATGGGTACAGCAGGAAGCACAGAACTGGGCAGGAGTCCTACCCACAGGCCTTCATAATCTAAATATCAAGATCTGTACTCTTCAGGGAATGGAAATCTATAAATAGCAGAGTGATGATATCATCACCTTCTAGCCTGTTGCTGTTCAGCTATCAATTATTTTTTAAAAAGCTTACCAAAAAATTAATAGATGGTGGTAAATTCTATAGCACCATTTAGCCATAAGCATGCACACACACACACACACACACACACACACACACACACCACAGACCAATAGATTTTAGTGGCTACTTATTCATTGGATAGAAGAATTCATCTATCCAAAAGCCCACCTCTCTGACTGTATGCCAGAGCTCGTGTGTCTAGCTAGTCCCTAATGCTTCCTCCATATATAGAGGGGCAGATGTGCTTTTCTCGATAATTCACTGGCATTGTCTATAAACAAGTCTCTATTTCTTTGTATAGTGAGAAACTCAGGGTTTAACCTTGAATGAGTAGCAGCCTGTGAACCTTTAAAATAGGTCTGATGTGTTAAAGGGAACTTTAATCCCCCTCATTCTTGCCATGAAGTGAGGTCTGGATTGGACATCCCAAGGAAGAACCTAGGAGTAAAGCCTCCACTTCCACATGACCTTGAACAAATTCCGACCTTCTCCATCCTGCTAACCAAGAAGTGACTGTGTATTAAGCATGTCAATTCTGCATTTGGAGAGAAAGTCTCCAAGGGGACAAGTGTTGCAGTGACAGTTTTGCAGGAGATGGGAGAAGGGAGGGGGTCCTTGGGGCACATCCACAGCCCCTGAGACAGCACCACCAAATGGATTTCCATGATCTCAAGCTCAGCTCCACTGAATTCCTAAATGGTGCTAACCCTCAAGCTTATCTGAGGCAGCAAACCACCTCAGAAGGTTGGAGAATGTCACCTATCCCCAGCGACCTTGGATTCTTAACACTTGTTTTAAAAATTGGTGTCTGGTCTCCACGAGTAAATACCAAAGAGGAAGAGAAGAGGGTAGGTGGGAAATAGAGAAAAGATTCTGTTTAAAAATGTATATATGTGTGTATCTACATTTATATAAATAGCAACCAAAATGGAACATGGGGGGCACATGCTATTTTTAGGACGAGCTGCAATAGTAAAGTAATCTCCTGAGTGATGGTACTTTCTGGCCACATGCCCTCGCGTCCAGGAGAGGCTGTGGTGCTTTTTATTCTAGTCACATTGAATGCCTCTTACGAATCCATCCATCTTAATCAGCACCTACCATTCGCAGCAGCAGCCCCGCAGTCAGGAAGCAGAGGAGCAGACAGCAGGAGAGGACAGAGTGTGAGGGCAGTGGTGAGAGATGACATCATAAAAGGAAGGAAGGAAAGAAAGAGGGTGGGAAAGAGCTGGCGAGGTAGGGGAGGAGGCGAAAGCCCCACCATCCATCCGCTCTGCCTCCATCTCCCTCATTCTGAATGGACGCTTCCTTCCTTGGTGTAACTCTCCCAGCCAGCTGGAGGGCTGAAAGGTGAGCCAGCCCGGGGCCTGTGTCCTCAGGGTGGACATGCTGCAATGCTCAGAGGTTTGAGGAGCAGGTGCCCCGCCAACTGAAGCTCCTGATGCAGGGTGGATAGGAGGTGCATAGCAGGAGGGAGGCCAAATAGCTGTCCTTTGCATCTTCCCTCTGCTCTGCTCCCTCTGTTCCTTGCCTCAGCCTTATCCCACCATGTGCTGGAGCAGTCCTGCCCCAGCCACCTGACTCCTGACCCATTCATATACCCTGGATCCCCTTCTGTTGTCCTTTGGAATGTTTCCACTGGAGTTCCAATTACCCAAAAGCCAGGATCTTCCAAAGGGAGTCTAGGGCTCCCCACCCCACATAGCCATTACTACACAAGCACCACAGCCTCAGCCTTAGCCCACCCCATGTTAGTCGGAGGGGGCGTGGCTAGAGTGAATTCAGAGCTCAGAAAACCCTTGTGCCCACCAAGACTTGGTTTGTCCCTATCATAAGGCCTAGATCCTGCCTAGTATTTCACTTAACTGCTATAGTCAGAACACACTAGAAACCGTAGCCATCTTGGCTGGACTCCTAAAATCCCTGCCAGCCCTTGGGCTCTGACCCCAAACCCTAGCTGGGAACCCACGAGGTAATGTGACCACCCACCAATGTCACTATACCAGGGAGCTCCTAAGAACTAAGCCCCTAGGGAAATCAGTACCAATCTGAATCAAGCCTGAGCTTGTTGTATACCTTCAGACCCTAGTGTTTTTTAGTTATTACATTGTCTTCACTGGGGCAACTCCCCAGTCCTGGTTCCCAGCTTTCCCAGCTTTGCTCCTGAGGGTGGCCCTCAGCAAAACCCTCTGGAGTTTGATCCTTCCCAGGCAGGACTTAGCTGAAGACTTGAGTGGGAACTAGTGGGGGTCTGGTCATCTCAAAGTTCAGGGTTAGTGGGAGACCAGCAGGAGGTTCCCTGTCAGACGGAGTTCAGAGGGGGCTCTGCGAGGTAACTATCCTCAGGCCTGGTCATGAGGCTGCAGCTGCTCTAAGAACCAAATCTAGAAATTAGACTCAACAATCAGAGTTAGAGGTGACCTATGTGTTATTTCCACATCATCTCTTAATGTGTGCCTGCCTGAGAGATTTAAGGAGACTAATATTTATGAAGTGCCTATTCTCTGCTTATTGAGTATTACTGTATTTAATCAGTAGAACAACTGTAGACAAGAAAAATCATACCCATTGACAGATGAGGAAGATAACTCAGAGGACTTTGGTAATTTGAGCTCCAGGACTAATAAGTGGTAGAGCCAGAATGCAAATAAAAATCTAATTCCAAAACTCATGATGCTCCCCACCCCATCCCAGGAAAAGGATAGAAAAAGCATAGGGATGGTAGAAGAAGAGATGACTGGAACACAGAGAAAACAAACTTCCTGTATCACAAGCTACATCTTTGCCACAGCTGTTATAAGAGATAAGGTTGACTGTGAGTTACAGTCTCCAGCCTCCCAGCAAGGACGGCCTGTATTTACACAGTAATGCCTGAGAACCTGGGGGACTTAGGCTAGGACAACATGGCAAGAAGCCTCAACAAGTAATGACCACGCAGGATGTATAGACAAGAAAGCATTTTTGTCTATCCTACCAGTGTATGCTGGTAAGAGGCAGGAGATAGGAAAAATCCATTTGTAAGTTATTAAATTTGGGATGTTAATTTGCAAGGCTGAACTAGAAATCAAGAAAGCTGCCTAATTGGAGGCTGCAGCATGCCAGAGGGTGAAATTAAGGGAGGAAGAGGAGCCTCCTTCGGTGGAGATGCCATGAATATGAGAGAGGTAAGCCAGCCAGGATGCAGCTCCTCCTCCAAGGAGTAGGGAGTGAGGTGGCCCCAAAGGGTCCTTCCAGCCACTCTCTAGGTCACTTTCAATGACAGGGCTTTGGGGACACCCCAGGTTCCCCATGATCAATCTCCTCAGTATTTCTCAAAATGTTTCCTTGTGATGGACCCCACAGTTGAGGGTTCTAAGATCCCATATCCTAAGGAAAGTTCCCCACCACCACACACACACCCCACCACTGAAATGATGCACACTCAGACCCAATCTTAAGCCCTTTTAGGAAGTCACTCAACTATTGAGAATCTTAGAAAAGCAATGAGTACTCTGTAGGAAAAAATATCTAGATCCAGTTACCTATGTGTTTACATTCAATGCCAGGGGAGAGCCCTCTGCTCCAGAGAGTCTCCCTGGATGAAGCCAGGCTTCTGCTTCCAAAGACTGTCTTTGGGGAACTTTATGGGGATACCAGTACCCAATGAGAACAGAACCTAATTCCATAAACAGGACTCCCTAATGGGGTAAGGCTGAGAGCTTTAAACTGCTTTTGTTCCAACTTTTCTCTGTCTTTACCATCTATCACAGGTCCACATTACCCCCTGATATTCTCTTGAGAATGCCTTTAATCCAGCTTGGATGATATTCAGCACCAAGAACACACTGAACGAGATTGCAGTAGGGCAGGCGGCTGAGCACTGTGACTTGGGCAGGAGGGAGGGGGTTGACTCACTCTACTTACTGCATGGGGTAGTTGTAAGGATTAAGTGTAATTATGTCTATACATTAGTCAGGGGTCTCCAGACAAACAGAACCAGTAGGACATATAGAAATACACAGAAAAGGAGAGTGGTTATAGGAATTGGCTCACACAGTTATGGCAGTGGAGAAGTCCCATGATCTGCTCTCTGCAATCTGAAGACCCAGGGAAGCCTGTGGTATAATTCAGTCTGAGTCTGAAGGCCTAAGAACCAGATGCAGCAATATCCAAAGGCAGGAGAAGAGGGATGTCTCAGCTCAAGGAGAGAGAACAAATTTGCTCTTCCTTCACCTTCTGTTTTATTCAAGGCCCTCAGTGGATTGGATGAGGCCCACCCATATTGGGGAGGGCATTCAGCTTTACTGAGTTGACCCAATCCAAAAGCCAATCTCTTTTGGAGACACCCAGAAATAATGTTTCATCTAGCACCCCATGGCACAGTCAAGTTGAAGCATAAAATTAACCATCACAGTCTATAAATGTGCTCCACAGAGGTTAGTTTGTTCTAGAGTCAGTTCTCCTCCTATTGGGAACAATATCACTGGGCCATGTGACAGGGTCCTATTGATTAGGAATTAGTATATTATTCCATTGCTTAATGGAGTTTTGAGAGGTTGTATACCTGTACACATTCACATGCACACCATTCATTAATTACACTCCCCTCAATTGGCTTGGTTCCAAGGGTTGAAATCTCTTTGACAACATCGCTTCTCTTTGCTGGACATGGTCAGATGGGCACTTAGTGAATATGATCAAGTCATATGAAAGACTTGCAATTTACACTTTATGTGTGTCTTTGGGCAAGTCACCCATCCTCTTGGGCCTCAGTTCCTTGTGTATTGATAACACAGGTTAACCTCGTTCTTCTCTAAAACCCTTCAGGACTAATGTTCTGGGATTCTATGCTATACATTCACATAAATATAAATGGAGAGAGAATTTTTAAAGGAAGCGATACCTAGAAAGTTAAATACTTTTCTTTGGTAATCGTTATCTATTGTCAACTTCTCAGATCAATAATATTTTTCATAGATACTGACAAAAAAATCCTTTGTAACTCACCATGACTGTCTGTATCCTATGAAGAGGCACTTTCAGGGGTGTGCAGAATAGTGGGCATGCTAAGCTTCCTATTAGCTGGGTGTCCAAAGCTCTAGAAGGCACTTTCCTCCTCTGTCAGTGATTTCTGTTCTCTCCTGCTTCCACAATATTTTCTGACTGCTTCCAGCTAATTTGAGGAAAGGCTTTGAATTGTTTTTTTCTAGTCTCTGCTTTTTTTCTTACATTCTTTACATACAGCAGAAGTTAAGTGTGAAGAAGGGGAGCACATCTCTACACTGCTGAGAGCAAGAAATAAAATTTTCCCAATTACAGGTTTCCACTGTAATTTTCCTCTTTGAAGAATAATAAAACACTACACCCACCCTTTTGCATTCTCTTAGCTTTTTGTCTCTGGCATGCAGAGAAGGTATAAATGGAAATATACATATGCTGATCTGTGAAAACTGCTCTAGTCTGTAGAAAAGGGACTGGCCTTGGAGAAAAGGAGAGTAATAAACAAAGATGTCTTCATAGTTCTTCCTCAAGCCACCTCATACGTACTGACTTTCATATCTTGTCTACATACTTTATTGTAAGTGACTCCACTCAGCAAAGACTTATGGAGTGCCTGGTACATGTCAGGCTCTGTGCTCGACCCAAGGACTACAGCAACCACAACACTTTATAAGTGTCTCATCTTTGCTGTGTGTCAGATGCTGTTCTAAGAGTTTTACGTGCTTTGGCTCACTCAAACCTCAAGATAACCCCACCAGGTAAGCATAATTACTATTTCCTTTGTGAAGATTGAGGAGATGGAGCACAAATTAACCCAAGGCCAAATAGCTAGTAACTGGAAGAGCCAGGAGGTAAACCCAGAGAGTGGAGCTCCAGAGTCTATGCTTTTAGCCTCCTCAGAATATTGCAGACCCTGCCCTCTCGTTCTAGCTGGGGAGATGGCCATATGAAAAAATAATTAAGGTGCCACAGGTAAAATTTCTTCTTATAGACCAGGGTTGTGGAGAGGAGGCCACTGTAGGTAGAATAGCACATGCAATGGCCCATAGACAGGAACCTCTACAGGGGGGACCATGAAAAGCAGTAAGTGTGTGGGTGGGGTAAAGAATATTGATTGGGTGGTATGTAGTTTGTATGCGTCAACTTGACTGGGCCATGGGGTGCCCAGACACTTGGTCAAATATTATTCTAGGTGTTCCTATGAGGGTATTTCTGAATAAGATTAGCATTTGAATTGGTCAACTGAGTAAAGCAGATTGCCCTCCCTAATATGGGTGGTCCTCATCCAGTCCAATGAAGACCTGAATAGATCCAAAGGGCTGACCCTCCCCTGAATAAAAGAGAATTCTGCCTGCCTGACAGCCTTCCAACTGGGAAATTTTTCCTGCATTTGGACTAGCACTGAAACATCAGCTCTTTCTGGGTCCTGAGCCTGCCAGCCCTCAGACTGGAACCACGCCATTGGCCTGCCTAGTTCTCAGGCTTTCGGACTCAGACTGGAATTACACATTGGCTTTCCTGGGCCCCCAGCTCACCAACTACAGATCCTGGGGCTTATCGGCCTCCATAACTGTGTGAGCCGATTCCTTATAATGAATATCTCACTGTCTCTGTCTCTGTTCTCTGTCTCTTTCCACGTCTTCTATTGGTTCTGTTTCTCTGGAGAACCCTGACCCATTCAGGTAAGAAGAGCTGGGGGAATGAAAATGAAAGGCAAGTTACATCCAAATAATGACCAGTGATTGAGATCATGGATGAGAAGCTAGACAAAGTTGTCTCTTGCCCTTCCAGAGAATTCCATGTTAATAAGCAGCCAAGGTAAAACTCTCAGAGTGTCAGGCGTGATCAGGGCAAGTGGGGGACAACGGGAAAGGGACCTCACGAAGACCATAAGATAGCACAGTGAGAGGCATTTGCAGTCCTTATCACAGGATGCGTCCTATAGCTGAAGGGGCATTTACAGAGGTCTTAATCCCACCCTCTGGTTTATACAAGAGAGAGCTGGGGCCAGGGAGAGGAGGCAGCTGGTCTGGGGTGATGCCTGTGTGTGGGGCAGAAAGGGTATCACCACCTCTCCCCGAGACACAGTCCAGAGCTCATTCCCAAGATCATGTATCCCCCCACTGACCCAGCTGGCCCTGCCCAAAACACGCACAGGAAAGCTTTCCTATGATGTAAAGAATGAGGAAGAGTGGCCGCATGTGTGCACACACACACACACACATACACACATCCCGTGGTTGTCATTTTGAGCCTAATTGTTTTAACACCAGCTGTCAGGGCTGCAAAATTCTCCTGTGGTACCAGTGACCTGCAAGATCTCGAATAACGAAGATGTGTTTAAAAATAGTCCAGATTCCTGGAATTCACCTCTCCTTGTCACCCTCCCTGCTCCATCTTACTGACAGGCCTGGTAAGAACTCCACTTCAAATTCATGAGTACAAAGCCAAAAACTATGATTCAGATATATTAGGAGTGGTAGAGAAGAGTGGTGGACAAGAGCAGGAGCTGATGAAGCAAAACGGGCTAGAAACCTTGGCGGAGACTCTCCCCAGCTCTCCTAGTGGGGTGCGTACTTCTTCCACTGCCCCTAGCCAGGCTCCAGTTTCCCTGGGCAGACGAGCACCTCAGCCACTATGATCTGAACACCCCTTGTTGGTGGTGGGCCCACCAGCTCCCTGCAGCCCAGCCCAGACCCCACAGACTCTGCTCCCTCTGCCTCCCAGCAACATGGCATTGAAGGATAAACCAACTCTGTAGCCAGACAAACTTAAGGTCAAATCCTGGCACAGCTGCTAACTAGCTGTGAGACTTGACAAATTCCCAAATCTCTTGCAGTCTCAGTTTTCCAACTGTAAAACCTAGCTTTTATAATTGTTCTAAGGATAGGGCGCCTGGGTGGCTCAGTTGGTTAAGCGACTGCCTTTGGCTCAGGTCATGATCCCGGAGTCCCGCGATCGAGTCCCGCATCGGGCTCCCTGCTCGGCGAGGAGCCTGCTTCTCCCTCTGACCCTTCCCCCTTCTCAGGTACTCTCTCTCTCTCTCATTCTCCCTCTCTCAAATAAATAAATAAATCTTTAAAAAAAATAATTGTTCTAAGGATAAATGTGAAGTATAAGTTACCCTGCACTCCACGCCTGGAAGGTAGCAGAAATCCTTAAATATTTGTTCCTTTGCTTCCCCTTTGTATGCCCAGCTGTCTTACTCTTTCAAACACACTTTGGTAACATTAAGTAAGGGAAATTTCAGTCCGAAGGAGCTACCATGCTTGTGAAGGGGTTCAATCGTGGTGTTATTTATGGCACTGAGGAGCTGAAGGCAAGTTCAATGGCCCAACCTTGAGGAAATGGCCAAGTTAAGATTTATTTCTTCTATGAAGTCATGTGCAGGCATTCAAATTCTATTTTACTAACATGAGAAAATGCACATAATATGATGTCAAGAGAAAAATTCAGCATGCAAATTGTATTTATAATATCCTCTCATTAATGTGAATGAAAATACTAAAATAAAATTAGGCAAAATGTTGACAGACTGGTACTGGATAGAGGCCTTATCAGTGAAAGTTTTCTCTTCATTTGTGCTTTTCTATTCCCAGAACAAAATGTTTAAAGGAATAAATCAATGGTTGCCAGATTTTTAGTTTCAAAAGAGAACAGGGCTGACAGTATGGAGAACAAAAAGTCTCTTCCTAGACACCAAAATAAAAGTTCTGAAAAAAGCTGTTTTCCCTATTTAACCAAGTAGTGAGGTGGCCCGAAGAGATGGAGGAAATGCGTCTTGTTTTACATCTGGTTTAATTGGTTAAGAAATGAGTTGAGAGGAAGCTTTAAAGTAACTGGCTCCCGTCCTGCTGATGGGGTAGGCATGACTGAGTGCAGACAGAGCCCACCAGTCACTTTGGGACAGCATGAGACGCTCCGCTCTAGGCCATAATGCAAGTCATGGGGCAGAGTCGAGAAAGCTTCTCCAAGATTTAAGACCAACTAGGACAACTCTCGTGTTGCTTATTAACAATTTAGAGGATTCAGAGAAATACGAGAGAGGAAGACGTCTGGTGTTGCACTGTTTCCATATGACTTGCCCAGACCACGGGTTAAGTTAGTAGAGATTTCCATCTGTGAAATCAACCAAAATCTCTGTCCTTGGAGGAGTTAGGAGCACCTAACCCAACACACTCATATCATAGATGGAGAAACAGACCCACGGAGGTGAAGTGTTTTTTTTCCCAGAGTCATGGAACCAATTAAAGACATATTTGGATAAGAATCAAGCCCTTCTGACTCCTAATCCTGTCTTCTTTCCACTAATTCTGGGTGGTGAAGTCTACACTTAGAAGCTTGTGTGAAGCTCTATGGAGAAGGGGGCAAGAGCAGAGCCTTACTGCCCTGGCGCCCTATAGTGAAGAAATAAGGTCACTGCACCTAAACACTCCACAAGGCTGAAATGGGATCCAAATGAGAAACAAGTAATAATGCATCACAGCATACTGCTTCTTCCTCACTAAGCACATAATTGCACTTTGATATACATATATTACATGTTTTGGAGCATCATTTGTTCTTTCCTAGAGATTCTTTCCTTTGCCTTTCTGTGTAGGAAGGTATACCCCTCCCCCAACTTAAAACAAAGCCTAGACATATCTGAAATCCAGATCTAGGCAGAGGAAAGATGGAACAGTCGCTGGCTTTACATGTAATGGTTTAGCACACGGGAAATAGGAAAAAGAACTAACATTTACTGGGCACATGCTAAGTGTTAAAGACCATACATGTATTTTCTCCTCTTACTCGAAAACAACCCTGTGAAAGACGAACCCCATTTGTGATGGGGAAACCGAAGCTCAGAGAATTAAAAAAAAATGACAGGCTCAGAGTCACCCAGTTAAGAAATGGTCTCTTTATAACACACTACCTTGAGGCTCCCTCAAATAGAAACTGAAGAAAACAGCTAGGAAGGGACAGGGTCTTGATTTCTCAGATACTCAAACTATTATCTCATTGATGACAATACACATTTATTCCGACTGAGCAGAAACTTGTCTGATGTGTAAAGAAAAATTCTCCTCCACCTCCTGGAGCTGATCCTCAGATGGCAATTCTGGGCCAGCCAGGCTTACTCCATCAGTGCCTCTGGGTCCACAGGCCTCCACAGGGATGAGGGACTGCTGTCACTGCTGCATCTCGGGAGCTCACTAGAGTAAGGAAAGGATAGCAAAGACAGCCCATGTATTGAAACGAAGCTGGGATGAGACAAAGAAAGAACTTCCTGGCCTGCACACCTCAGAAACGTACTGACCCTGAGTCATCACAGCGTCCCCGACTGGGCCTCTCAGAGCCAGTCATGGGCAAGCAGCACGCGGGCTC